TTCTGTGATGATTTCACGTGCTTCCATTCGCTCGGCATGGAATATTCTTGAATAATGGCTAGCCTATTGGCTACAAAGGTACAACACCTCGCGGTCTGATTGTTGATGTAATAAAGCACTATCTGTGAGTCCGTCCAGAGAGTGACCACGGAGGAGAAGTTGGGCAAACTTTCAATAAGTTGCTTATAGACCCTGGCGGCTAATGCGGCGGTAACGGTCTTTAACGGAGCAACTCTGGATTTTCCGAAAATCAAACGGCATTCGACTCGACCATCGTTTGACACAACACGCGCATATGCAGCGACGCCATAACCTGTTTATGGCGCGTCTGAGAATACATGAAGCTCAGGGTTACAGACACCCACAAAATCGTCAGGGAGCAAGCATCTCGGGTATTGCACAACTCCTATCGACTTGACCAAGCTCAACCAAGAATGCCACCGAATTGAGTGGTCTTCACTGACAGGAGAGTCCCAACCCAGACCGGACTTACAAAGTTCCTGTAGCACCTGTTTCGCGGTTAAGTACACAGAGGATACCAATCCTAGTGGATCGAAGGGCGAGCAAACAGCTGCTAGGATTCCTCTTAGCGTTAGTGGTTTCTCGGGAATTTGAAACCGGAAACAAAAGATGTCAGAAGATGAATCCTACTCAATACCCAACGCCCGCAGCATATTCATCGTCTTTGGAAATATCTCCACTACAGCTTTCATTCGTTCAGACGATGGGAGGCCCTGCAGCGCATCGGGGAAATTTCTCGCCCACTTATGAATTTGAAACCTCCCTCTGGACAGTATATCCGTTATTCCATGCACAGATCTCTTTGCGTTAGGAACAGAAGGTACTGACACCAAGCAGTCGTTTACGTAGAAGTTGTTTATCACAGACGATTTGATTCGGTCGTTGTAATCCCCACCGAAAACAGATAGTTTGTCTTAGAGCGAAATTGGCACAGACCGGAGAAGAGACGGCACCGAAGACATGAGAGGCCGTTTGATATTCAATAGGCTCACTATGAAGATCCTTCTGGGGGAACCACAGAAATCTCAGAGCCCCTTGATCAGGCTGCGGTACATGAACTTGCAGGAACATTTCCTCGACATCTGCCGACACAGCAAACCGTCTCTTCGAAACTTCAAAAGAACTCCTACCAAGTCAGCAGTTGCATTCGGTCCCTGGAGAAGCATGCCGGTCAGCGATCTTCGGTGGTGCTTAGCTGCACAGTCAACTATGACCCGCATTTTCCGGGCTTTCTGGGATTCAATACTGCGTGGTGAGGCAGGTACCATCTTGCTGCTGATTGTAATGTTACCAGCTCAGAGGGAACCGGCACTCATAACGCTTCTCGAGATTCCGTGACATGACGGCTACGCATGCTTCTAAGTATCCTGGGTCATGCAGGGAACGTCTTCGCAACGAGCGCAGCCGTGTTCAGGCTGCCGAAAAGTTCGAAGAACCAGTAGGTCGGTCTGCTTTCCAAGGAAGCGGTACAACAAAATGCCCCCTGAAGTGTTCCATCCCTGCGGACACCAATTCTACTACTCGTCTGTCCTCCACCGATGGAGTTTTCCGAAGTGAATCAATGTCCGCAAAGTCGACATCGTATAAAGCACTGAGTTGACCCTCTAATGATAGCTCCACTGACGACAGGCAGCTGGCGGCGACTCCCACATGGTTACCTGGAACCAGTGGCCCAAGAATAATCCAACCCAGCGGTGTCTTCACGGCAAATGGCTCTTTCCGACCTCCCAACCGCTGACATAGTACCCAGTGAGCTTCTAGAACGCCAATCAGCCAATCAATATACCAACCGATTTAGATGGAATATCCTCAAAGCGCAATTCTTTCAGGTGAGCCCGAGCGTGAGTCCACGACTAATGATGGGAGGATTCCAGATACTACTGAAGCACCTTCCACCAAAACAACCTCGTCACCGTGAGGTGGACACACCTCGAAAATTTCGGATTCTCCTACTGCTAAACAAGATCCACTGATTGTCTGTATTTCACGCGGCGTTCGAAGACTCTCTATACCGAGTTCGTGCAGCAAGTTATGACATGCGATAGTGGTATCGGACCCACTGTCTAAGAAGGCATACGTGATCAGTTCCGCCGAAGGACCTCTTAGACGAACTGGAAGTAGTCCTAGGTAAGCATCCGTCTTGCGATCAGTCTTTGTATTGCTTTTGTTTCGAATGTAGCAGAGCGTGATATTTGGCTCGGCATCCATCTACCCACATCGATATATCAGTTGGCAGTCCTTTGCTTTGGGGCCGCCTTCAAGACCCCGAAAACAGGCATTGAGAGACCTTAAGGTGGACCATCTTTCCACTGGCTCAAAAGACAGAAAACACTCACAGTTCTTGATACGGTGTTTAGCATCACAAACCTTACAACCGATCTCGCTTAACAGTGGGGCCTGATCTGAGCGAACGACCGCATGACTCTAAGCGGTTCTGCTCTTGCCTGCATCTGTAACAGCTTGGCCACGTACACCTTGGTTCCTTTGCGTAACGGATTTTGCCAGAAGGCCGTAACGACTGCTTAGCACTCTCGCCCTTTCAGTAAGGAACTGTGTGAGGTCGCCGAAGGTTGGCTTTCCCCGATCATGAGTGGCTTGGTAAACGAATTCCGCCCACTTGTGTTGTAAAGTATTGGGCAAGCACCTCACTAACCTACCTAAATTTTCCAGGGAACGCAGTTCTGCACTGTAGTTAATCTGGGTCAGAGCTATTTTGCAAATCTGCATCTTGAAGGACAACTGAGTCAGATCTCTTGTCTTACACGAGGTAGAACGAAAACGATTAATGAGATCATCTATCAGGGCTCTGCCAACCACATGAGACCTTCCGAAAGACTCGTGCAGAATGCGGCGGGCACGTTCATATCCCTTTGCAGGCTGAAGCATGAATCAATCTTCGATAGGCTCCCTGGCTACACCGGAGCACGCGTTTACCAATTGTACGCGCCTCTTTCCCTCGTCTTGGGTTTTGCTTTCGATGTAAGGTTCGAATTGACGCATTAACCTCCAATAGCTCCTGGGTGACCATCAAACTGCATAAGGCCGATTTTAGGTAACTCCAGGCCCTCTATAATGGATTCCAGATGACGGAAGTCACCTAATCCATTATGTTGTCGTTCCCCTACTCCGAGACTATGTCGATTTTCAGAGTTCAATGGCGTTACCATCTTTCTGCAATCTTCAACATATCATTCGATTCGACTTTTTGAGGACTCTGAGAGACCAGACCGGTTGCACTGCTCTAAGCCGTCTTCGCTTCCAGCCAAAGATGCTTCGAGCTCAGTCAACTCCACCTCGGCTTTAGCCTTCAGGAGTTGTTTTTATGGTTAGTTTTCATTGCCTCTGACTGAAGATCGAGTTCCTCTTTAAGTTGTCTCTCTTTAAGCTGTGCTAACAACAAAGCAGCTTTGGACCCCGAATTCCCCAAACTAATCATAGAAGCTATACTAGCGCTAAAGCTTATCGCTGAAAACGAACCATGTCCGACTTCCCAGACATTCTTCTCAAATTCTTCTCGTTTTGAATTGACCGACATTGACCTGGTGATTGGCATCCAAAGAAACACGCTTGTCAACGTTGAGTGCTGTAACGACCGTTTCGAATTATTGAGCAACAAGCACCAAGGTTAGCAACCAAACCAGCAAAACTCCGAACGAATGGCCACGCAAATTTACTGTACTATAAAAATGAAAACAGTTACACGGAATACAAAATTACAAACCTCGACGGTTTTCGACAAACGGTGAGGTACTCCAAAAGGCAAGCAGAGCCGGTATGGATCAACAGCCAACGCGTGACTGAGGCCGCGTCTCAAACTCATGAATTAAAACTATATATAGCTGCCCAAGGTTTTGGTACAAAAATAGTATAACCAGAGCGGCAAAAACGATTTGCGCGGTAAGGAAAATGGAGAATATAGATGCCATGTAGAACTGAAATAGGGTTCAATTCCACCAGTCCAAAAAGGGGCGGTCCATATGAATTATTAACCGGGAAGGCAGTCATTCAGATTGGAGGCAATTTTAAATTTATATGAATTTGAAACAAGGGCCATAAAATGATTCGTCCTGTCGTATTTGCATCTCAAGTACCCGTAACCTGGTTTTGATGCTGATGGCAGATCGACCAGGTGAATACCGCTCTAATCTCGCGGTTCGCTTTCAAAAGACGAATATCAAATTTAAGCTAGGCATAAGAGTGATGTGACTTCTGTTATGGCCAGCGGCACCAGAATTCTCTACTCGACGAAGCTTGCCTGCATCATGCTGGATGGGGGTTGCGTGCCGGCGGTGTTGACTAAATCTTCGTCGAAAATAGGCAGGAACAATCAGTGTGGGCCAAGTATGCCACCATACTTGCACCAACGCTTTCAAGGACGTGAATTGGACGGTGGGTCACCAAGACAACTTTCTATTTAAAGCACTTGCCGCATCCCTCACACACGAGCCCAGAGAATTTCTCCTGTGTACTGGTTGGAACTGTTGTGGGGGCGCCAGATGACCCGCATTGCACATTACCAAAATTACCCAGCACACTGAAACCAAACAGGGTGTTTGGCTCTGTCTGGGATTGTTGAACTCTTGGCTCGTCCACACTGAAATCCGGGCTACCCAGTTGACACCACGAGGAGGTTCAATGGACCGACTCGGTGAATCGACAGCTATCGTACACAGACGACAGCTGTTTTACTCACTTTCAGCCAATAAGTCCAGGACTATGAGCAGAATCGAGTACGTCCTAATCCTAGTTTACGCTTGCGGCCTCCTACTCCTCTAAGGCGCAATCGAGCCTGTTTTACTTTTTCAACCAATCAGAACGTAAGGCTCACCTTGACCAGTCACTTCATCCTTGAGTCCTTTGCTGATTTCCCTTCTAGTATGCAGGTCTGGTCATTTTTTCAACTAACGCTTTTTGCAGAATATCAGCATTTCCAGTGGACCTTCTGAAGGTAATTGTCTTGTACTAAAAGCATTCTTTAGCTTCACACGCTGAAAGCTACGGATACTCACTTTACCAAGAAGCATGGATGTCCCTCAAACATGCGATTGATGTAGGTCTCATTTTTACCAATAACTACCTCCTAAGGCTGACCTCAGCCAAGTCTCTGGCTCCATTTTCCAAAAAATCGACCGGTTCATTCGGAACAATCACAACAACTGGCTTAGTGCTAGCGGACTGACCCCTGCGCGACAGTTAAACGATACCAATTTCTTCCCCGGTGTCCGAACCGGACAGATCCCTACCGCTCTCTTATTAGCTGGCGTGAACACTCCAGACCACAGCCTCATTTATCGGCAAATTTTCTCGTCGGTATTGATGCAAAATGGTCGTGTTGCCTTGATCAACCCTGGCACCGACACAGCTTCCTCCCATTTGCTTGTCGCGTCCGCCGTCAAACAGTTCCTGCAGCCTGACCGAGACGCCATTGGAGCACTTAACCCGGGTTTACCGCCCACAATTCTCCTAGATGATGATGAACTATTTACTCAAGATAATTCTCTTCAGGTGGGTCCTAAAATGTTTCATTCAGTCTTCACCGATTTTATGGATGGTGAGGTTCGCGTTTGGGTCCCTTCATTGAAGTTCTTGCAACAGCTCCGGCCCGCCATTCTTTGAGGTGTTATTAAGCGTAGTTCATGCTACGAAGACGGCCTTCCCACCTCTTTTCCTCTGTGAGCTGTAGTTGTTCAAATTCTTTTTTTGTGGAAGCTTGAGTTCTTTGTCTTCCGGCTGATTTCTGGGCTAAACTGTCTTTAGGGTCAAGAAACTATCTCTGCGAGGGGATGGAACCGCTTTTGTGATATTCTGCTCCGTCCCGGGCTATCCAGGTTTTCAATTAACTTATTTTCTCCGATATTTTCACTCACGCTAGTTGCTCACGGATGACGATCCTGCTGTCATCAGCCCTGAGAGCCTCGTACTTGCCGTACAGTGGTTATAGCTGTGACAGTTCCGTTCACCGATGATTCTGGGAGATGGGGTAGGTAGCTTCGCAGTGACCGTAGGAAAAATAATTATGTTTCTGAAATTTTTTGAAGGTGCACTGTAGGGGTTCGGACCTGTTTGTCTGTCAAAAGTGGATTTTACACCGAGGGAGTGCGATCCATACTGGTTTATGTGGGACTTGGCCCGTACGCACAGAGAACTTAAGAAAGATGTCTCCGGAGTATTGGTCGAGTTTGGTGGTTACGTCTGCATAACAATGCTGAGGTATGCCAGGTGGTCCTAGGAAGAAGGGAATCTCCAGCGATAGATAAATAGCCCACATTTCACAGTTTACGCATGCCAGAAGACCTTCTACCTCGCAGAGCTCCTTTTACCCAGCTCTGTGCGACCGAGATGTGGACAGTGTGTGACCTACCAACGAATTTTTAAAACACCAACCAGTAAACTGAGTCGAGTCGACAACTGCCGTCTCCCTTTGATGGGGATCCCGGGGCTCAACTTACCAATAGTCAATGGCACTGGCAAAAATGGCCAGTCGTGCTGTCAGTGACGCTCATGCATCAAAGCCGTTGCCTTCAGTGCGTACCTATCCTGTTCCCGAACCAACTGAACATGCTGTTGCCTCAAAGGCTTGGTTGTATATCCCACACTCACTTATAAACTGTAGAAGCTGGAATCAATATGACTATAGTACATGGTTTATAGCTGATAAATTGAATTGAAACGGCATCAACATAGTTCAGCACAACCCATTGAAATGCCCTGACGCTACGAGTGACGCAAAGCGCCTAGCGCAATTTGGGCGTTTGAGATTGGTGTGCTGGTCTCCTCTGTAAAACTACCATCAGAACCAATGCAACTTCTGTGGTACGTGTAGCATTCCACAGTTCCCAGTCTCTCCTTGAATTCTTAGGAACATGTTCCTGCAGCGTCACTTTGTGTGGGCGAGGCATATGCTGAAGGAATAGTTGACCTTGGTCAGTCTTTCTGCTTCCTCCTCTTTTCCAAGGACGAGAACAGTCTCCGCATATTCCAGGTCAACAGGTTTCGTGCTCGGAGACCCCAGTGTGCGCCTTATTACTTCATCAATGACGAGAATAAGCAATTTGGAAGGTGGACAACTATGTCGGATACCACTGTAAGATTAGTTTTGGATAGTGCCGCATACATTCATTCAAGTATATGAATACAAATAGTGCACGATATTCTTGCACATGCATGTTGAGAACGAACCCGCCTAAAATCGAACGCGCCTTCGAGGTCAAGAGTGTGCAAGCAAGAGCGTTTACGCGCATGTCGTCCCTCTCCTCCTCATCATCGACAGCATGACATCAGTGTTCAACACCGATGCTTCGCTGCCGTATAACCATGATTTATTTGGAAATCTTATTGTGAAGAAAAGAGAAAAAAGGTGGGCGGGGAAGGGACTTAGTGCTAGCTTACTACAGTCATTCCGAGATGCTTACACTCTCGGACACTCACTCAGGTAATCTGGACAGAAAATAACAAGAACGCCACTGACATCGGTTGGCAATCATATCTTGCAGAATATTCAACTAGGCGCAGTGGGAATCACGCGGTCCCCATCGAAGGTGAGTAGCACTGACAGCACCCAAGCGTTTCGTAATCTCCTTCATACTCCTCTGATAGGTCAAGGGTTGGCCACCTCTCTGCTCCAACCACCCTTAATTGGACACGGAAAAGAGCACTCTCTTCGGCAAACAATGGTTAGGCATACGCAACACGTCTCCACCAACGTAGCTTGTAATTCTTAACGGATTTTTCAACGGAAGTGCCCATCGCCCAACAGAAAGATCGCTTTCAAATATCCTCGTTACGGATGTGCCGACACCAACCCGCTCCTACGGTGGTTCTGAGACAACGATTGTCGAACACATGTAGGCGTCTCGAATAGGCATACAGTTAAACATCCCGCACTGTAGCTTGATACGCACGTCTTGACATTCAGGGTACATTATTTTGATGCCATAGGTGTCTCAGATTAGCAAAGGCGATTTGGGCCTGGTAGATTCGTGCATTCACCTCATCTGTCACAATACACTCAGAACTGATACAACTCCCAAGTTACGTAAAACGCTCGACAACTTCCAGTGATTCTCCCTGGATTGTAATTGGCGTGTTCACCAACTGCATTTCCAGGAGCGTAACTTTACTTTGTGAGTGCAAAGTGCATACCAAAGGACGGGATGATGGTCAGTTCATCCAAAAATACCTGCGACTTCTCCTCCTCGAATATGAGAGCGATGTCGTCTACATATTCCAGGTAAACAAGGTTTTCGTCACAGACTCTGAACACCGGGGTTTCGGGGACCTTCCAGGGTTCGTTGATCACGGAGTTAAATAGGACTGGAGAGAGTAGGCATCTCTGTTTAACCCCAAGGCAGCGGTGTTTGGCGGGAATATTTTTTTTGGAACAAGTCACATGTTCCAACCCCAACCTGGAGGACCAAGATGCTGTGTTTGTCACACCTCTAACTATTGACCGACCTGGCACGAGAGACAGTGTGTCGCGGAGACACCCCCCAGTATGGTTCAATGGGTCGCTGAGGTGCGCAGACCGACACACCACGGTAAGGTCCAGTCCAGTCCAGTTGTTCTAAAAATTGACGGAGTGTGCTACGATCCACAAATCCCAGCAAGAAGTCGCTTGTTGTTCTAAAGTCCCCTATGCGCCTTCATAAGACGGCGTAAAATTAGTGACTTAACGTACAAATTAGGTCATACTTATTCCTCTGATTGTTGTATGGACTCACCTCATCCGGATGGAACTGCTGCTTTCGCCTAGATAGTAGCGGATAAGTTAGACAATCACCGATTCAGGATTTCACCTTTTTTGGCCACAGCTTGTTAAGTTCGTCAGTTCCAGCAGCTTGGCGGCTCTTGAGCGAGAAAAGGCATCTACCCGTTTCCGGAGACGTTCGTAGTTACAAATTCACTGTCCAGGGCTGCGTTTCGGGTTGGGAATTCGGCTGAACGACTTCAGGTGACTGGTTGAATTGTTGAAAGTGATAAATACACTTATTCTCTTTTTGGGGGGATGGACGGGGCGGGTTTATCGCTTATATCGCTCACCTGAGACCTTTTTAGGTCTATTGGGTGTATCAGCTTGAATAATTTACACTTCCTCGCTTTCTTTATCTCGGTTTTTCCCTTTGGGCAGATGCTTTTTTTCGCCGGACGCCTGACAACTTATAGAGCCTTGGTGCATTTTCCACCAGCAGAAATACACACCTCAACCTCAAGCAATTCAAGCATTGCTCGAGATCCAGTGTCTATATATAGTTTGTTGGGCTGTTCCACAAGCATAGCGTTCGTCATCTTGCAGTGTTACGGACAGCACTTTCCAGTAACAGTCAACGTCAGAAGGCTTATTCTCCGAAAAGGGCTCTCGTAGGTAGTTTTGGCAGGTTTGCATGATATTAGGGTCCGAGGGCCATGCGGAATGTGCGCAGAGGGATGCAGCACCAGCAAGTGCATGATCAGAACCCGTATAGATGATTCACAGTGAATGACAATCAGTAATTGGACCACATCACATGTGTTTGATGATGGCGGGGTCTACCTGCTGGTATGTGGGAGCACCAATCTTCTTTTTTCGAAAGTTAGTAATCAGGTGGTGGTCAACACACAACTACGACAAGATTTCGTCCTAGGCGGACCAAGTATGGCGCCACTATGTAAGAACTACTTTAGGGCAATGGTTGTCAACTCATTTCGTGCGACGTGCCACGTTTCAGTGGGCAGTGGCTGGTGAGAAGTCATCCTTCACAGAATCAAACGAAATATTCTAGCTGTTACGAAAACTCAGTGGTCGATTATCTGATAAGTCCCAATCAAGATATAACTCCCGGTGGATGGCTCCTCATAACTAATCATATCCCGTTTGTGTAACTAGGATCACTACTACCACTATGTAAGTGCTTTACAAGTTCGAACGCAAGCCAATCCATTGCCACTGATACTTCCTCACCTATTTGACCTCTGTGTATTTCGTGGAAAAAGAAATGATGGAATATTATCCAGCCACTGGATGGCGAAAATTCTTAGTCCCATGGAACAAAGCAAATTTAACCCCGAACATTGACTAAGAGAACTAAGGCATTCAGATGTTTCCAGCCGCGATAAGCTGCCGAATCAGAGAATATCGGCCAAAAATTAGTCACACTTTGGACGGGGCATTTTCCCGTAAAATTAGGGGACTAGAATGTCTTTGTTTATCGTTTTTTCTTTAGTAATTCCGGCCCAAAAATGGGTTCTGAAGAGCGTTGTTTACTCTGCGTATTTTTGCTTTTTAAGTAGTCATGGGGTAGGGTAGAAATTTCTGTCTTATAGTCTGGGACGCGAACCATTAGTAAGGGCAATAATCTCATGTGAAAAGATGCGGCACGTTTTCCTCAGACTATTTTGTGCTACGATTTACCTTAGCTTATAACTATCCTCGTGACCCCTGGAACTCGTTTTCCTGCCTTTTTATGCCAAATCCTCTTTCATATGTATGGAAAGTGACGCAATTGGAAGTGCTCGGCGTTTTGTAAACAGGTATGTTTTTTCGTAACCCGAGCCGTTGCGTTGTCCTGAAGTTTCGCTGACAGTAGGCAGTAAACTTTTGTTGCAAATTTCGGGAATACACTTTGGTTAGTCACTTGACGTACTTGGTGACTGAGGTGGGTCTGTCGGCAGAAAGTGGAAATTAGTCCCCTCGTTTAGGTTGCTACCTCAAGTAAGTGATTACGTCACATGCCCATGGACAACCGTTTCGTTGTTCAAATACATTCCCCAACTTGTCTATTTGGTCTGTCCAGGTTTAGTTATTCTGACGACACTTCAGCTCTCGTGCCTCCGTCAGTTGCATGGCAACATGCACCGAATACTTATCGGTCCTTGTGGTCATTGGTCTTTGACTCTCTACTGGACAAGTTATGGTACGGTTTTGCAATAATTTCTAGTCATCCCAATAGTTTAGCCAAAGTTTCGTTCACCTCCCCCCCCAAAAAAAAGTGGACCAACGTTCTATTAGTGTTCTCAATACATACTTCGACAAATATGTCCCGTGAACTGCATGCGGGTAGCGAGTATCTCACTTCATCCATGTACAAGTACCTTTGTTCTCCCTGTAGTCAATGATCTGAAGGTTTCGTGTTTTTCCAGCGTCACTTAGAAGTTGTGGTCCAATAAGAGTGATGAGTACTCAAGGTACCTCAGTGGTGTAAGCACGAACCTGCTAACCAAAATGTCCGTGGCTCGAACCAAACTCCATAATTTCGACTGCTCCGGTCTAGGTTTGGGTACTATCTCAGCCCTCGTGCTTCCTTCGGGTGGCCCGGCAGCTAAAGCTGAACGATTATTGTTACCATTATTCATTAAGGGCTGTGACTTGAGAGGTTCTGTAATGATGCAGAGTGCTATACTGAGTCCAAATTGTCTGGAAATACTTTGAAACATGATAAATTCGTTCTTAGTCATTTCGATAATTTGGTAATGCAGATCAGTTTTGGATCTCAAGTTTGAGCAAAAGTCCCATACGTACTACTAGGAGATATGGTGATATGGATCAAGGCTGTTTAGTGGTTTTGACCATCGTCTCTGCCATCTTGACCTTCATGGGCGTGTGGCCCACATTGACTAACACCATTTAGGCAATTTTCTGGTCACTTGCTTGCCGTCGCCGATTGGCGAATCTGTGGTTAGTTTTATGGTGCTTTCCCCCGCTTCTAATCAGTTTCATGACTTTTGACAAAAACTTAATACAGGCACACTGTACACAAGTCAACACTTTCATATCCTGCATTGTAGTATCAAAAGAGATCCTTGAATTCTATCTTCTATCGAGCTATTTTTCGCACACACAGCTTGTGACTATCGTAACCTCCAATATTTCGTATTCGCTCTCCATTTAGTCCTTTACATCAACAACAAAGTTCACTTACTTGGCCCTATCCGAATGGTACCATACTCGGGTAAGTCTGTAGTTTATTTCAGGGCCTATTTTTTGGTGCGCGTCTATGCTTTATGTCATTTGCTTTTGACTGTACAGTCAATGTCTTCGTAAAGAGTTTTAACTGTGACAGTTCACACGAACATGTGGCGGTTCTCATTAGGATGGACCAGCCGCTTGTCAGTCCGACCGGTAACCTAATGAAGTGAGCTTATTTGACCTATCCAGCGAACTCACTTGGTGAAACCGACTGTTCTCTTTGTCTTGTTGCGTAGTGGTCTTTCTACATATTCTCAATCCAGATTGCCGCTTCACCGATCTCACTACACCAAAAGAGCATTTTCAAATGGGTGGCATTCAGTTTGCACCTCCTCTATAGAAGTGTCCTAGCCCAATTTATGGGAATGTTTCGTGACGCACTACTCCAATCCCTTGGGTCGGATCGAGTGCTTTTATTTGAACGGAGAAGGGAGTGTCCAAAGATGGAACATTCATTAAGCTCGCTACTAATGGAATTTTTGCACTTTTCATTGCACTTTTTCATCCATTTTTCGGATAATCGGGTTCACTTCATATATACCCCTTTATATCCACAGCATTATGTATATATATATGTATATATATATGGAAGCCTCTTCTGCAGCTTATGGTTTGAAATCATTGTCAGCATCAGTGCTATTAATTGACCGATAACTGGTCAGCTTCCACTCGTCCAGATTGCATAGCAATTCTTACCCACTTAGTTACAGCACGCTCATTTGTTCAACTAGTCCGTCGTGCGTCAAACTGAACTCGGCAATGAATTTTCAGAGTGAACAACCTGATGTGGTTGGTGATATTTTCGAACATTGTATCGATTGCTATTCCCTTCCGCAACACTGTAAACTTAGCATTATCCCCGGCATTATACCACGACACTTGTTCTGTCCTTGCAGGACAGTCGGATATTGGATGTTAATGTGCGCCATAGCCTAATTTCTACTTCCCTTGTAATTCTTAGTTCGGGCTGCTCTTCATCAGAAAGTATCCTAGTATTAAATTTACCCCTTAGCTTTGGTGTAGAGTGCGGTTGTGAGAAAGATAATCACCCAGTTGTTGTTCTGTATTTTAGAAAAAGATATCAAAACATCAATCACCTTCAAATCTATCCAGAGAAACGTCAATCCCAGGTGAGTGGAGTCCACCACTGTTTCACTTATATTCTTGTACAAAATGTATGTGTATTCAGCCTAGCTCCTCCGTGATTTAATGAGCCATCGAGTAACTTGATGTAGTAGGAACAGGTTTTCATTTCTGTCTAACGCGGACGGCATGTGGACCCCTTGGGCTTGATGCTTTCCACCTACGCTGTTCGGTAGAAAAAATGACCGCTTAAACAGTATTTTGTAAATGGTGATTCGCTACATTTTCGGACAAGAATCAGATCAAATTGTGGTGTTGTGTTTCTCCTAATGGTTTACTTTCACCATTCTACCCCAGGTAATGTGTACTTTCGTGTCATGGCCCTTATGACACCAGCGTTGGCATCTTATGCTTCAATCGGTCGTTTCAATCCTTGCAGTTGTGCACCAACACTGTTCGTTAAGAAATTCATGTGCGATATGTCGGTACTGTGCCCTCAGATACTTGAACTGGACGTTTATTTCAGAACGTTATACGGATGGGTCTTTTACTGTGTGAGGTTTAGCTGCCCTTGAAGTTCGTGTGCATTTGGCAGCCCTAGGAAACATGATTTAAACCACCCAAGGACCATTTGACGTAGCACTGTGCAGTTGTCAAGTGTGTGTCAAAGGCGATAGGTCCACTAAACACCGATGGTCAGTGGATCGGCGGTGCCCATAAAATGAGTTGGAATGATCGGTAGAAGCACTCGAAGGACAACTTCTAATGTATGCGAAAGACAGTGGTATCAGATTACGCGTTGTGTTTGCAGCGTTCCTTTGTTGAATAGGTTCAGCGAAGTACCTGATCAGATGTCGTCTCAGCTCAACCTACCAACTTTCGCGTGCTTAACAGTTCGCAGTGTCCTGTATCCATCATCACCATTGACAACAAAGTCAGTGTCCAATACCTTATGCCTCACTGCTGTTTAAAAGGCTTATTGTGGATAAAAAATAAAACGTAGGGACGTAGTGCTAGGCTACTGTAAACTGTCCTAGATGCCTATACCCTCGCACACTAGTTCAGACAATCCTGATAAAAACCGAAAAACAATAATAACTTTTTTGACGCCGATTATTAGGGTTATTTCGCCGCGTCTCTAGCCAAATACAGAGGGATCACGCGTACCGCAGGTCGCATCAACAACACACACTTTTCGCTATCGTTTTCATGTCCCCCCTGCGCTACCCCAAATTAGGAACGGGAACCGTCACTCGTCAACAAACGATGGCTCGATATGGTAAATGTGACCAAGCGATCGCAGTTGCTGATGTTACACACAGTCCTCAGTCGAAATCTGCTGCACACCCGAACACTCGCATTTAATTGTTTTGTTGGACAATAGTTCATCATCATCATCAAGGACAGCAACATCAGTGTTGCCACTGGTGCTTCACTGCCGTACAACCATAAGGTTTCTCGAGTTATATATATATATATATATATATATATAATTGTATTAAAAGCCCTACAGTGAAGAGAAGAGAAAAAGAGTGGGTGAGGGAGGGGACCTAGTGCTGGCCTATGTCAAGCATACTGAGGTGCCTACACCTCCAACCGCTC